GTGTGTTTAATTGGACTGCATCATTGATGAATTACATACTTAATTTCATTTTGAAAAATTTCTTGTTGTCTCACAAAATTTCAGTTTCTTCAAACTACCTTCATTGTAATAATAATTTTTAATTTTCAAAAATTCTAGTTTATAAAAGAGGAATTTCAGTGTGTTTAATTGGACTGCATCATTGATGAATTACATACTTAATTTCATTTTGAAAAATTTCTTGTTGTTTCACAAAATTTCAATTTCTTCAAACTACCCTCATTGTGATAATAATTTTTAATTTTCAAGAATTATAGTTTATAAAATAGGAATTTCATTGTGTTTAATTGAACTGCATCATTGATGAATTTCATAATTATTTTCACCCTGAAAAATTTCTTGCTGCCTCACAAAATGTAAATTTCTTCAAACTACCTTCATCGTGTCAACAATTTTTAATTCTCCAGAATTGCATATTATAAAATTGAACTTTTAACCTATTTAATTAAACAGCATCACTGATCAATTCCCTACCTATATACACCCTGCAAAAATGTCTTGCTGTCTCACAAAATGTAAATTTCCTCAAACTACCCCCATTACATAAATAATTTCCAATTCTCCAGTAATATTAAAATTAAAAATCGAAATTTCAGCACGTATAAGGTGCCTGATTTTCGTTTTAATATTCGAGCTCGGCCACCGATTTTCATTGTCGATCTCGTCGGGCCCGACCGAATATATCGATGGTCAGGATCTTTCTAACGAGACGTGGCAAAAAGACGAAACGGTAGAGAAAAGAAAGGAGAAAAAAGTTTGAAAAACGGTCGTGGCCGGCTCGACTGATGCAATCTATCGTCCATTAAAACGAGTTTCAAGGCTCCTTTGGTCCCGTAACAGCTAGAATGCTCGCGATCGAGAGGCTGAGCTCTTTGCGCAACCATCCAGCCAACCAACGGTCCCTATCCGCCGGCTGGATAAGTTAATTATTGTTGTTGCTCGTTAGCGATTAACAATTATGCGAGCGAAACGTTTCCTTGGCAAGGACGTGGTTGTACCACGAGCTATGCTCGCAACAGAGCCGATTCACCCGGCTATGGTTATTTATAGAACGTGGATTGCAATTAATCTACCGTCGAATCATGACTTTGTTGATCTCCCACTAGTCTCGCTTCTCTCTTTTTTTCTACCTCCATTCACCGAGGATAGCAACTTTGTTCTTCTCCTCGTGAGCTCTGGCTCACCGTGTAATTGCCGGATCAATCACTGTCACCGTTTTCACTCTTTTCGCCGTATTTGTCGCTTTGACGAGGCTACTTTGTGCTCCTTATCGAATTAGACTGTTACACTTTCCTGCTGCTTGTATCGCTTTTCGATTTTATTGCTGGAGATTTACTGATATAGGAATTTGGGGATTTTAGGGGAGTTTAGGAATTTTGGGATGGAGGACGAGATATGGGAATCTAGGGATTTCGGGATATAGGCGTTTAGGGAATCTAGGGAATTCGGGACGTGGGAATTTAGGGGCCTAGGGATTTTGGGATGTAGATATTTAGGGAATCTAGGGAATTTGGGACGTAGGTATTGGGGGATCTAGGGATTTTGTAATAGAGCTACATAGGGATTTTGAGAGTTGGTTATTTCAGGAATTTCAAATTTTCCAAATTCCAAATTTTGGAAATTCCAAATTCCCCAAATTCCAAATTTCCTAAATTCCAAATTTCCCAAATTCCAAATTTCCTAAATTCCAAATTTCCTAAATTCCAAATTTCCCAGATTCCAATTTCGCCAAATTCCCTAAATTCCAAATTCCAAATTTCTCAAATTCCAAATTTCCCAAATTCCAAATTTCCTAAATTCCAAATTTCCCAAATTCCAAATTTCCTAAATTCCAAATTTCCCAAATTCCAAATTTCCTAAATTCCAAATTTCCCAAATTCCAAATTTCCTAAATTCCAAATTTCCCAAATTCCAAATTTCCTAAATTCCAAATTTCCCAAATTCCAAATTTCCTAAATTCCAAATTTCCCAAATTCCAAATTTCCTAAATTCCAAATTTCCCAAATTCCAAATTTCCTAAATTCCAAATTTCCCAAATTCCAAATTTCCTAAATTCCAAATTTCCCAAATTCCAAATTTCCCAAATAAATTCCAAATTTCC